TTTTAATTAAAGGGACATGGGACAGAATTTTAAGCGATCTTCAACCACAGAGCGGAATGCTTGATTCACAACGGCCCCTAGCAATCTTTTAGGCACGGAGAAAGGGTAGAGTATAAAATGCTGATATACAGTTTGTACAGGGGAATTGTACAAAAACAATTTTTTTCCTCCATTTTTTCGACACTTTAATCAGCAATTTTTTGGGGCCCCCCCCCCCCCAAAAAAAAAGGATTTACTTACATAGATTCAAACCCCCTAGCCTTTATGGCTAAACGCTTAATACCTGTAAGCGCATGCAGAATAAGAATGCAGAGTGCAAAACTACGCAGGGTTACAGGATACTCTGCTCTCATCTTCGAGCCCTTGACTTTGTCAGAAGTTCATTGAAAGAAGCTTGATGGTATATCTAAGGCAGATTTTGCAGACAAGTTATGTGTTCTGCAGATACCTGGAACTTTTCTTTAAGCTCTGCAATCGTACTCGGCAATTTAGAAACCCTGTCCCCCCAGGGTTTTACATCTTTCATCTGCTTTATAAAACCTTTTTTGATACTTCACACTTTCTCAGTTGCATCATCAAGCCTAAACATCCATCATAAACTTTAATTATTATTTTACTCCTAAAATGCTGATAAATCAGGATATTAGTGTACCAGGAGAAAAAGGAGAATAAATTTCTAGGCTAGATTTATTTAGAATTTCTAAAAACATGGTGAATAAATATGGTTTTTAAGCATTGATAATAAGCATTGAAAATAAGAGTGGGTTATTGCCCCCAGCAACCCCCAGCATTTGGCGCCCCCCCCCTTTTAGCCTTCTCATTTTTGACTTTATCACCGTGAAATTTTTTGACTTTTAATAAATGGTAATTTAAATGATTTTTTTTATATTTTTTTATATGCATACAGGGCGGTAAAAAGTCAGGAGTGTGTAAAAAACTAATAGCCCATAACTTTTTTATGACTAAAGCTAAAGATCTGAAAATTATATTTTTGAAAATCCCTTGAGAAAAAGATGTAGAAACATGTTTCACGCTTTGATATTTGTTAAGAAATTACATTTTTGACATTTTTTTTGACATTTTTTGGACATTTTTTTCAACCCTCCCTAATACCCAAACTATTATTATTGATCTATTTTTTTTAATGAGCTGGCCTTGATAATTGGCCTATGAACATGCATTTAAACCCTATACATATTCTCTAAGGATTTTTTTAAGGGGGACATTTTATTACCTTCTCTTTAACACCTTAATATCAGGGGATGCATAGTTATGTTCTGCAAGGATCTGTGTAGAGGTAACAGAGACTACTGAGACTGGTCTGGGAAAAACACTGTGGGTTTAGCATTTCTTTAATTTTTTCATTGTCTACTGCATTAGAGGTCTAATATGAGACCATAGGAATAATAATACCCTTTTTTAAATGCATAGGATGCATAGATGCATAGTTTATATACATTTTATATATCGTTAACGTCATATATTCATATATACCATGAAGCATAGGATGCATAGATGCATAGACTTATATAAAAAATATATACAAGTTTATATATGGCTGCATAGGATGCATAGATGCATAGACTTATATAAGAAATATATACAAGTTTATATACGGCTGCATAGGAAAAAAACTCAAAGAAGCATATTGAAGTCTTTAAACGAAATTTACGTTTGATTTTAGACCTGTAAATGCACTTGATTTCTGAAATATTTTAAAAATGGATTTGTGGAAAATTCCCTAGAATTTTCTGAAAATTGAGATTATACTTCAGAAGACTGCATATTAACATATTCTGAAGAAAGAGTTTAGGTGTTATAACCTGAAACCTGATGGTTCATTTCCAGCAGTGTGTTGAAAATAGTGTTTAATTTACAAACGAAAAAAACAAGTTCAAAGAACCATAAATGCGAGAATAAATTGACTAAAAAAAGTCATGGGTGTCAAAACTTTTGGTTGGAAGAGAGCTCAGTCTCTTCAAATGAAATTTTTATTTTTTGTTCACGATTCCTGCTACGTAATCGAACCCAGTCAGGGTTGAAGAGAGCTTTGATCAGGGGAGGAAAAACTTAACCCTATCTCTGCTGGGGTACTTGAAAACCAGGATATGCGGGGGGGGTCAATTTGACCCCCCCCTCTAAATCCCATGTTTGATGTCCAAATATGACAAATGATACATCATTGGAAAGCTCTTGTGTTATATACATCTAAATGAACCTTTTATAGAGTGGAATCCATTACATACATCTAAATAAACCTTTGATAGAGTGGAATCCATTATATACATCTAAATAAACCTTTTATAGAGTGGAATCCATTATATACATCTAAATAAACCTTTGATAGATTGGAATCCATTATATACATCTAAATAAACCTTTGATAGAGTGGAATCCATTATAAACATCTACAAAAACCGTAAAAATATTAATTTATCAAAGACTTGAAATCGCTTTAAACCTTAGAAATTATTTGCAACATTCAGTAGGGTTCTGCCATTTATAGAATATTTTCTGCCATTATTTTGCTTAGAAAAATACCAGAGATATGAAATATTTTGTTTAAATTTCAATTAATTGAATAAAACCATGCACATTTAAAATTCTGAACGAATCATTTGTATCTCCGGAAATTTTGAAAAAAAGGCAAATTACATCTTAGAAATGGCAGGTTTAGGGCTAATTTGTTATTATTATTATAGATGTGGAATAATACGATTAATAATACGATTACGAAGCTTTTAACGTGACCACGCAAATCTGCCCCTTTGGTAAAAGTAAATTCAACCTATATGAAGCATAAAGTCTGACCGCGTCAGCCTTGTTGCACCGGCTAGTCCTATCCATAGAGCTGGGTACTGTACAAACTGGGACCGGAAAGGTTGACCCGGCTCGGAAATTCAAGTGTACTACGGCTGCCCGTGTGACGATTGTGAATCGGACATTCCACTTTGAAAATCTAAAGTTCCTTGAAATTACGTCTAAAGACCCTTTAACGGGACACCCTGTAGGTTAGAGTAGAGGCAGCTGGATTACTGGCGCAGATTACATCACCCTGGATATCAGAGAACCATTGTGTATTAGGTTAGTTAATAGTTGGAGACACTAATATTATTATACTTGAGATAATTGAAGATTTACTACTCCAAGTGTTTACACCATTTCAAGACAATTTTAGACATAAAAACTAATGTTATGACACTTGCCGATATTTATTTATGAATTTTGATTGGTCAACGCATAAAATCTATCTATGTCTCTAAGAAATATTGATTGTTTGATTGCGAGAAAATAATTTTTTTATGATTTATGTGAACTAATGATTTTAAATGTTTTAAAATTTTCATAAATAATTTTCAGTATTTTCCTATTTAACAACATTGCGCTGAAATAGCTAAAACACAAGTACGTTAGTGGTCGCAGAGAAGTGAACTGATTAAGGGACTCCGGTCGTTTAAGTTTATTATGATCAGTTTTTTATTGTTGAAACATGAAACATTGGTAAATATTAAATTCCTAGAAACTATTTTCTCTTTACTTTAATATCGAAATCGCAGATCGATTACATTTTTTTTTATAATGTACTATCCTTTACTTTTTAAAGGTTGTTAATCTTTGAAAATTAGAAAAAAAACTAAAATTTATTTTTTTAGTTTTTAGTTGTACTGTCTTTATTTTAATTATTAGGCTTACAGGGCGCTTTTTTTTATAAAAATCTAATGTTTTTTGGGGAATGTTTATTAATACATAAACACAAATATAAAATATAAATACTATGGTTTAGTGCGCTTCGCGCCCCATTTTCTAGTTATGACTTTTATTAACTTTCACCTTCTTCAGGCAGCTTTTTTTCTCTTTAATCATAAAAATAAAAAATTTTCTGTTATCATTTAAGGATTTCCATAATTCAAATTTTTTTTAAGTTCTGTCGTTTTGACGTTTATTAGTTACAAACAGACTAAAATGAGAGGTATAGGAAATATCTAAGAATAATTTTCAGCATCAGACTTTGTTTTTTGAGTTTAGTTTAGTCCATAAAAGGAAAAGGGTTAAAAAAAATATTCAAGGTAGAAAAGGCCACTTTAAGGTTATAATTGAAGTTTGATCCGTTGAGAAAAATCTTTTTATTTTTAAGGTTTGAAAAGTGAGGTTCCTAGTTTAGTTTTCCAGTTGACCGGCCTTATTAGAGTCTACTTGGACAAGGAACAGGAAATTAAGGTATGTGTTTTTGTATAAACACCATTTTTGGATACCTCTAATTTTGAAAGGAATGGAGTTTTTGATTCAAACTCAGCTTTTTCATCCCAATATCTCTGAAACCCGATGTCGTAGACCTTTAATATTTCAAATGTACACTGAAAATTACAGTCACTTTAATCTATGTATGTAAACTAAAAATTACAGTCTCTTTAATATATGTATGTACACTGAAAATTACAGTCTCTTTAATCTATGTATGTACACTGAAAATTACAGTCTCTTTAATCTATGTATGTACACTGAAAATTACAGTCTCTTTAATCTATGTGCACGAAATATATTTTCAAGAGGTATAGTGGAGAGTCTAATAAAATATCAACCAATGAGGATGCTTTGCTCTTAGTAACTGCTGCCTTAGCTAATCTTAGCTTTATGGAATCTAGGTAAGTTTTTTAACCCCCCCCCCCTTCCCACTCCATGCTAGGAAAATCCCCAAGACAAAAATATTTTTTAAAAATATTACAAATAACAAATTGTAAAGCTCCTTTATAATATTTAGAAGAAAAAATCGATTAAATCTTTATTTTGAAACACCCTGGAAAAAAATTATCACTTTTATGATGTGTATTAATCATGGGTTACATGTTTGTTCCTAATATTTTGAAAAAAATTTACTTTTAGTTTAAATTTAAAAACATTTCTCAAATATATAAAAGCGGCGTAAATGAAATATGATATAAAAGTTATTTTTATTATTTTTAAAAATATCTAAAATATTCGTTTATATTTAGTGCCTTGGTTGCTATGCAGCTGGAGGGAACAGCGGAGTATATTCTTCAAATTTTAAATAATATTCAGGTTTTTTCATCTCAGGGGGTAGATAGTTTCAAACCCTCCAAACAGAGCCTGACAGTTAGTGTAAGGTTTCGGCCAAATAGTCAAAATTAACGTCTGACAAATTCTTGTTAAATTTACAAAATGACAAGAGCTGCAGACATCATTTACTTTTTTCACTTTTATAATATTTTGAAAATTCAAAATTTTTTATTTTTGAACAAATCCTAACCTTTTTAAAACAATAGACAAATTTTAAAGATTTCAAACCTTACAAGTTACAAATCATGCCGAATTTTCAGGTGTCTTTGTTTACAAGAGATCAGCTAGTCACCATTCTTGCAAATATGTCAGGACTACCAGAATCCAGGTCATTTATTCATTAAACATTAATGGCATTCATTAATCTATTCAGGCTAGTCAGGTTATTTATAGAAAAAGAAAAGTCTTCACAAACTCTGATTTTCTAATCAACATATTTTTGCAACGGAATGTCGTAGATCTTAGATACAGGGTTAGGTCTACACAGGATGAGACTGCAAAGACGACAATTTGACGATATTAAGTTTAATTTACTTCTTAACCGTCTTTAACTTGGTCTTTTAATGGTTGTTTAATGATGTGGTTAGGAAAAAAGAAGTTTAAAGTTGCATACGCATAAGTTTGAAATATCACAGGATTACACGATCAGGTTGCAAAGATATTGGGATTTAAATATTTGAGTTTGTGCAAAGACTTGATTTCTTTATATTTAAATTGAATACCATCTAATTATTTATTTTTTAAAAACATTTTTGTTAAGATATCAGATGTTTTTAGATTAAGTGTTATGCATTTTTTTGCCACGAACAAGGGCTGCAGTTGAAGACTGAGTTTAAGTTTCAATTAATGACGTTTCGGGTAAAATTATCAAAAAAGGTGTTAAATTGTTTTTATTTTCCCACATATTTTTAAAAATACGTGCTCTTGAGATATTTTCCAAAATTCTGAAGAAAAATCTCAAAGCATCTTCTGGGAAACTGAACAATTGAGTTCCTGGAAGTTAAACAAGAGAATTATTTCTTTATCCTTCATCAAATAAAATTTTAAAATCCATTTTCTGGCCATCAATAAAGAGAATTTTTTGATCAAAAACAAAAAAAATTTTACTGAAGGTTTAAAATAACAATGAATAATTTAAAAAAATTTCCTTTGTCATCGTTTCTGAAAGTAAAGAATTTAAATTCGTATTTTTACCAATAAAGATTTTTTTCAGAATTTATTTAAGCATTTTATCATAGTTGCATTGTTTTTGTCAAAATCTGGCTGCAGTAACTCACTATGGGTTCTTATATAAAATGATAGGTGATTATTTATCAAGACACATGGTTCACAACGTGTTGCCCTTAAAACCTTAAAACCTTTGTGAGATGAAAAAAACAATCGATATAACTTTTGAGTTTCCTAGCACTTAATTTTAAGTTGTAAATCTATGAATAGAAGGTACCAGAAAACCTAATTATATTCATTAGGCTTTCATTAATACTTTTTAGATCAAATATTGTTGGAACCGGTGGATTAAAAACTATGATCAAGCAACTTAATATAGAAATTAATCAGGTATTTTTCATCTAATTTATCAAATATAATTTAATCTAATCTAATTTTATCTAACATAATCATAACCTAATCTAATATAATCAAATCCACTCAATCTAATCAAATCTAATCTAATCTAATCTAATAAAATCTAATCTAGTCTAATATGATCTAATCAAATCTTAGCTTATTTAACCCAATCTAATCTAATATTATTTAATCTAAATCAATCCAATCTAATCTAATATAATAAAATCCACTCAATCTAATCAAATCTAATCTAATCTAATCTAATAAAATCTAATCTAGTCTAATATGATCTAATCAAATCTTATCTTATTTAACCCAATCTAATCTAATCTCTTTTAATCTAAATCAATCCAATCTAATCTAATATAATCTAACCCACTCTAATCTAATATAATCTAATTTTAATCTAATCTAATCTAATATGATCTAATATCTAGTTAAAGGGAGTGAACGGCAAAGTATATTAGTTAAAATGAGAATAAAGTACTATGGAGAAATTTTTTAGAATTCATTTGAGACATATAAAACGTTTAATGATGTATAATTACTGAGTTTGAGTGCAAAGTCGAAGTTCAAAATGATCTATTTGAGAATGAAATAACCACTACAAAAAATGTATCAAAAATTCTACAAAAAACTAATTAGATGTTTCGGAACATATTGCTCAATATTTTCTCTTATACGAACCCGCAGCTAAATTCAGATTAGATAGTTCTATTCATGTAACCCCTTCAGTTCTCATACGGACCCAGATCTTAGCTCGGATTGCAAGTAATCCAGCCTATAAACAGGACAACATATTATGACGGAAAGTAGGGCGGATGATAACTCCCCCCATGTATAGTTTATTCAGATTCTGTCCGTTAAAAGATGCCAGCCCAGAAAACATGCTTTTATCACATGATTTGAACTCATGGACGATTTGAACATGTGAAAAACCAAAACCCCCGTTGACCGGGGGTTCTATTTTAAATTCAAGCCAATAGGCAATACACGACTTGACATGAGGGAGGAGAAAATAGGATCGGCCTGAGCTAAAATCGAAGGGTTGGAAGATGGAAGATTAAATCGTTGAACGAGGCAAATAAAAGGCGGAAAGTCTGCCAGAGAGCTCCGTATAATTCCACCCAGTAACCATTCGTGGCATTTGAGATAAGCCCATTATCGTCTGCTAGTTCTGAAAAATTATTTTTTGCGATTCCCATTCATTGGGAAAAGTTCAGTGTTAAAAGAGATAAAATCATGTTTAGATTTCAGGATAATGTGTTTTCTCAAATCTGGTTTCATCAGGAAGATCATCAGTAAAATCATCAGATTCCGGAGAATGGAGGTCAACAAGAATCTCTAAACCAGTGAACAAATTTGACCCATCCCCTTCACCAAGAATACCAAGAACACCAAGAACAACAAGAACACCAAGAACACCCAAGAAAAAATCGCACAAGTTTACCGTCAGCAGTCCGGGAACACGTGAAGCTTGATCTAGGGAAAAATGTCATCCATGACCACAATACAAACTGTACAACCAGTTCTGAATGAAACATGGACAAAGAGACCTCTAGGACCTCTCAGACGTCCATGGAGTGTGAGAGCAGAACTTCAACCAGGACCAGAGCAGCATATCTTGAAATTTCGTTTTTATAATTCTATTGAATTTCTTATTCTTCACAAATTTGTTTGCAGATTTCTACAAATTCTTCAACTGTCGGCTTTTCAATAAAATTCCAGAAAATCTACTGAAAATGTTTATGAACAATGAGAGTTTACAGAAACTAATAACTGAACAAGATTACTTATTTTCGATGATAAGGGTTAATTTTTATTTTCTCAACCTGTTCCCAAACAACTAATTTTTGTTACATTTTTTGTCGTCATAAGTTAAAAATTTTATAAAATCGATTCTCAAAACATATCCACCCAAATGAAAGATTTTGAAAGACAACATAAACTCAGTAATTATACATCATACAAACGTTTTATATGTCTCAAATGAATCCTACAAAATTACTCTACAATACTTTATTCTCAGTTTAACTATCATTCATTGCCGGTCACTCCCTTAAACATATTAAAGAAGACTGAATTTTCTGGTTCTGAACTTGGCGCAATTACAAGAATTTTAAAAAAATCCGCAATTGGTTTGTCAAGGTAAATATACGGTTTAAAGGGACTGTAATGGTAAATTCAGGTGACCCTTAATTTAAAAAAGTGATACATTCCAATACACATTGGTACCTTTTCTCTGATTATTAATGTGGAGGATTTTGTCTCTTTTCTAAGTTTGAAATGTTAATGTCCTTTATTGTTTCTTCACATGTCACTTTCACAGAAAAATAGTAATGAAAAATTACAAATTTTCAAAGTAAAAAAAGCATAAAAATCGGTAAACAGTAATCGGTGTAAATCAGACATAAAAAATAGAGGGGTAAATATACATCTTCAGTATTTTAATTCTGTTCAATCATGAGTTGTTTGGTTATCAAGATCTTTTCTCAAAGTTTTCTACTGTCACTCCCATTAAAATTAAAGCCATACGAAGATAAATTTTTACATCATAAGTTCAAAAAGAAATGCTTTGTAAAATATAAGGATCACTTCAAAACCTTTCATTTAGGGGTTTTAATGGGTTTTTATTGCTGGAAATTGTTTCTAAATGCAGTATTGGATACGGACAATCGTAAGTTTTATCGTTTAAATTGTTGCAATCCATTCATAAACCATAACTTGCTTGAGTCTCTTGAAGAAACATTTTGATTGCATTAGTTAATTTATCCTAACAATATATGGATGTATTTAACTGGATTTAATAATGGAACATTTTCCAATAGCAGTTATAAGTTATGGCTATGAACAAGACTAGTAGAAATAATAAATCTATAATTGTATGTCTCTCTGAGAACCATTTTAATTGGAATGGTTGGATTAATTCAATGTAACCGTTCACTGGAAATATTGTTTTTGTTATCTTAAAAAAATATTCTTGCCAAAGAAAAGTGAACAATCAGAACTGGGTAGAAATAAGGAGGGGAATAGAGTTTGTTAAAATTCCATGTTCACATTTTCGGCAAAAATACTGGCCAAAGCAGAAACTGTTAAGTTGTGTATTTACGATAGATATTGTTTCCGACCTCAACAGTCAAATGTTAAGAACTTCTAACTTCTACTCCTTAGTTCTAGTTATTTTTATATCCTCTTCATGACTAATATAAAACTTCTTTTTCTGCTTCTTTATGATAGGGGAGAGAGTTTAAATGAAAACAAATGAGATATTATAAGCAACAATATGTATTTAACATTGAAAAGTCCAATTTTCATACTGATTTCCTATTAATACTTACATGAGTGTCAGCTATTAAGAGAAGAAATCAAAGTATTGGTTTAGGCCTTACTGATGCTTTACTCAGGGTTGAGTCATATACATTTAAATACGCTTCAACACTTGGAAAACAATTGGAAATATACATACTCTATATAGTAAAAACTGGGGAAAAGATCAAATGCCTAATTTCAAAACACTGGTCACATTGATTGATTTCAATTTTTTAGATTATGTTGTTCTCCAGTGGAGTGTGAAGAGGCTGTTTCCATGGGGGCAGTTGAAAGGTAATTGTTTGCTGGGTAATACTGATTCAATAACTAACAATAGTCAAGTTCTGTTTGCTGGGTAATACTGATTTAATAACTAACAATAGTCAAGTTCTGTTTGCTGGGTAATACTGATTCAATAACTAACAATAGTCAAATTCTGTTTGCTGGGTAATACTGATTAAATAACTAACAATAGTTGAGTTCTGTTTGCTGGGTAATACTGATTCAATAACTAAACAATAGTCAAGTTCTGTTTGCTGGGTAATATTGATTCAATAACTAACAATAGTCAAATTCTGTTTGCTGGGTAATACTGATTCAATAATTAACAATAGTCAAATTCTGATTGCTGGGTAATACTGATTAAATAACTAACAATAGTCAAATTCTGTTTGCTGGGTAATACTGATTAAATAACTAACAATAGTTTTTTAAGTGTTTTAATCTCACAATTTGTATATGCTTTCTTGCAGTAGAAATGCGCATATCATTTTTGCGGTTAAACCACAATTGAAAATAATGAATTGCCCAAATTATAGATATTTATTTCTAATTCATATTTGAACAGACAAAGCTTTAAAGAGCACCTTTGTGAAACAGGCATTGCCATCCTTGAATAGAGGGTAACGTGAAAATAGCCTTATATAGTCCTTTTAAACCCTTTAAACTCCGAAAAAAAAACTAATCTTATGATCACTATAAAAGAACTTAATATTTAGAGAATGAATTTTCTATAAGTTTGTGGTTTTCATTTTACTTGAAATGTCTCATATTTTTTTTGAATAGATTAGTTCAACTTTGTGAATGTCCAGCGTCAAGAAACTACAGTGATTCAGTTCTAGTCGCGGCGTTAGCAGCACTGAGGTAGAGTAGAGTAGAGTAGAGTAGAGTAGAGTAGAGTAGAGTATAGTAGAGTAGAGTAGAGTAGAGTAGAGTAGAGTAGAGTAGAGTAGAGTAGAGTAGAGTAGAGTAGAGTAGAGTAGAGTAGAGTAGAGTAGAATCAATGAATTAATTTTTAGGAAAATGGCCTCTTTCATAACCCTTGATGTATCTGAGAGTTTTGTTGGATCAAGTTTGGTGGATTCATTTAACGAGTTGAGCAGAATTCACGAGAGTTATGTATAGGGTTTGGGCACATTTTTTGTTGTTGAAACTGTTCATTCCACGTTTGTTGACTCTACCTTGATGTTCCACGTTTGTTCTTTTAAAAATCGTCAATTTTCAAAAGTGTTGGTTACATTTTTTTTAATTGCTATAATGGCTAATGAGGCTTATAATTATGGAAAAACGATCCTAAAATTCGCGTTCGTTTTTGGGTGGTTTTTGGACCGTTTTAGGGTTGTATTTTGCAAATATCTTCTGTCAAGGTCAAAGTTTGACAAAGCGTAAAATGTTTAAAATAAACAATTTATAAAACGCTTTTGTTACATTATGCCAAAATTTGCAACCCTGAAAGAAATAAAGGCAAAAAAGATCCAAAACCCAACCAACTAAATAATATTTTTTTTCTTTTCAGCTTTCCAGTTTTATTTGATTTCTAAACCTAACTTCTTTATATTTAATTAAGAAAATTCTGTTTTAGTTTTGAGCAACATCTTTCGCAGTTTCGATTGAAATAGTACATTAAAAAAGCGATTTATTGGGGAAACAAATTTAATTTTTTAGATTATAATTTGAATGCCACCTCACTGACTTCTAATATATCTTTTCCTCAAAGCATTAAGTTACTGTTGTGTATCCAGTTCTAGAAATTTGTTAAAATATATTTAGATTATTTGTTGTAGATTACTTTTTATATATTTACTTGATTAAAATTGTTAAATAAGACCGTTTATTGCTATAATATGTTAAATAAATACTTGAATTAGATTCTTAATTCTCTTAGTGCAATTTGATAGATTATAGATACATTTTTATAAAAAAATACACTATTTTGTTTAAATATTTACCTTACTAAATCATTTAGGAATTACGACCATTTTTCCGAAATTGTAAATAGAATGTGATGGAAATAAGAATGTGTTTTGTGAATTTTTTTCTAACAAGTTTTTGAAATTTATAATTTTTTTTTATATTTTAAAATTCTGCGTATCTAATATTTTTGAAAAACTTTTTCAGTGCTCTACAATATTCTGATTTTTGGTAATTGGGGAAAAAGTTATCTAGAAGAATAACATGATTTTCTTTTGTTAATAATCTTAATTTCAATAAAAACCTCAATCTAAAATAGCAAAATGATAACGTACCAAGTCGACACACAAAACCAATGTGATTTTTTTGTGAGGGAGGGGAGGTCTAAGCTAACCAGCCACCCCCCTTCCTTCACATCCAAGGTAAGTGAAAAGTCACTCTAAAACTCGCAGAAAAAAAAACACAATTCAAATAATAGAATCATGAACAAACAAACATCTAAATAATTAATCCGGCAAAAAGTTGGAACTTTTGAAGGAAAAAGCTGTCATCTACAAAGCCCGAGCCCGATATCAACCGCGGAAACTTTTCGTCTCAAGCGATTAAGTGCTTTTGGTAAAATATTCCAAGTTTGAAATATCNTTACCCTCAAATATATAGTTCCTTGGTTACCCTCAAATATATAGTTCCTTGGTTACCCTCAAATATATAGTTCCTTGGTTACCCTCAAATATATAGTTCCTTGGTTACCCTCAAATATATAGTTCCTTGGTTACCCTCAAATATATAGTTCCTTGGTTACCCTCAAATATATAGTTCCTTGGTTACCCTCAAATATATAGTTCCTTGGTTACCCTCAAATATATAGTTCCTTGGTTACCCTCAAATATATAGTTCCTTGGTTACCCTCAAATATATAGTTCCTTGGTTACCCTCAAATATATAGTTCCTTGGTTACCCTCAAATATATAGTTCTTTGGTTACCCTCAAATGATGAGACTTCTGAGTATGGTTTCCAACGTAATAGAGTATTCACTTACGAGAATTATTAAGAGCAGTTACCGAAATAATTTTCATTTTGTTTAATTCCACATGATTAAGCGTGATTGGCAAAACTTCAATTTCGCAAAATACAGTATAATTTTACGTAATTTCTATAACGTAATTTCGCGAAATTTTGTTATAAATGCGCATAATTAGCGAATCTTTGATTTCGCGAAATTACGCCTAAATTTTGCGTAGTTTCTACAAGGTAATTTCGCAAAATATTGTAGTAATTATGCGTAATTAGCAAAACTTAAATTTTGCAAAATTACGCTGTAACTTCGCGCAAATTCTACAAGAGTAATTTTGCGAAATGTTGCAATAATTACACATATTTACGAAACTTCAATTTGAAAGTATTTAAATTATCCAATTAGATTTGACATGGTTCATATATCCTTACACATATTTTTCCGCTATATTCATTTCTGAGAATTAATATGTACTTTACTAATTACGGAATGGTTTTGTATTACGTAATTTCGCATAATTTTGCCTTTATTGCGCGAAACTTTACTTTCTTTCATATATGCAATTAGCACATTATTTCGCATATTGCTTCTCCATAAGTGAAAGAAAGTGTAATTACGCGTAACATAATTACGACCATGGAAACCCTACTTCTGAGTCCAAAATTTAAGATTGTATCGTGAAACGAATTTCCAGAGTATCTAAAATTTATGTAGATTTGATTTAAGAAATTAATAAAAAATTGAGGAATAAAAAAACATATTTGTAACAATTAATATTGAAATTTGAGAATTGAAAATTGAATTTTAATGAGTTTAAACTTGGGTGCATATAGAGGGATGAATAAAATAAAAATAAAGTTGAAATCAAAGTGTTAATTAAGATCTGGCTAATTTTGCATGGAAATTAATAAATAATTTATGGCGGTTTTCAGCTTTGTTCTCTTTTCCTTGTGAACAGCTACTGTACAACGACGCTCCCGATCGCGTCCTAGTTGAGGCATTGATAGTCCTTGCCAAAGTAGTTGTGAAGATCATGTCCTAGTTGAGACATTGATAGTCCACACCAAAGTAGTTGTGAAGATTGTGTCCTAGTTGAGGCATTAATAGCTCAAGATTGTGTCAAAGTTGAGACATTTATAATGTCAAGATTGTGTCCTATTTGAGGCATTGATAGCTCAAGATCCTGTTATAGTTGAGTCATTTATTGTGTACGAGATTGTGTCAAGTGCTGTAGTGGCATTGACTGATTTAGAGTTTGTGTCCTGGTTGACATTAATAGTTGACAAGATTGTATCCGGGTTTAGACATTGATAGTTAAACTAGATTTTACCTGGATAGATACAGGCTAGGGAAACCATTCTGGAGTAGGGTATTTACTACATCCAGCTTAGTTTACTGCAGTACCTGTTCCAGCTTGTATCCAGCCAAGGTCTACATATCCTTCAAAATTGTTTAACCTGGAAACTCACAGTGTATATGTTAAGGAGCAAATAGCAAGAATTATCGAAAATAATAAGAAAATTATTTTTGTTCAAAACTTGCAAGGAAATATCAATCTGCAAAAATTCTTGCATGTATTATTCTTACCATGTTTTTTCTCCTCCTTCCTTTATTTCTATTTCTTCTGTTGACTGTCCCCACTTCAGCTTCTGTTCACTGTCCCCACTTCACATAATTTCGAAAAAAAAAACAAATTTTGTCAAAACTAGTATTTTTGAGCACTCCCTCTGCTCAATTATGTGATTAGTGTTCTGTTTCAGCTGAATTATTTTCTGCTTCAGTTAGCAGAATTATTGCCATAACCAGGAATGTCTGACCTTACAAGTTGATCAGACCTGAAAGTGCAGGGGGGTGGGGGATGTGAAGAGGGCATGAATGGGTAGGGGTTTAGGCAATTGTTCCAAATTTATTTTGTACTTTGAGTTTTGTGTCCAAATCCTAGTTTGGTCTTATAGATTGTAGATAGTGGTCTTAAAAATGGAACCCATAACATCTGTTAACTAAGAAATCAATTCCAAATGCTCTTTGTAAACAAATGGGTAGGGTTGAGGTGGAGGGATTGGAAGTTTGGAGTAGGTCAGGAGGGTAGGGTATATCGAGAATCTACTATATAGAAGATCCTTACTTTCCTCTTGTTTTAAAGGGTTTCCCACTTGTTAAGTTAGGTTTTAGTTTATGTAACCCATTAGAGGTGCACTGCATGTGCACTGCTTTTCATATTTTCCAGAGATGGGGGGGGGGGGAGAAATAAATCAGTTTCACACATTAAATGTAAAGACCCTTATGTGGCAATTCACTTCGCAGCCTCCCATTTATTCATGCAGCACTGAGTACACACATGAGTGTTGTGGCTTGTATAAAATGTTTTAAAATGAAAAGCTTCTAGGATTATAAAATGATGTCTGGAAGGAGTTCTGTAAGCGGGGTGAGTGGAAACCAAAGCTCCAGCTCTGTTGCAGGAATGTCTGTTCAGGTAATGGAAGTCTTGTCCTTGGGATTTTGTTTGCTTGTCTGTCTGTTTGAGTTGAATAAACGTCAACACTGCTAAGTTGATACGTCTCTAATTTTACATAACTAGAGTCTGAATTTAATGAATTTGAGCAGCGTCTCAAATCCGCCGAAAACCAATTTCAATTGAGCGCTGGCTTAAATCTTGAAATATTTAGTACAATTTTAAGTGGACCCAACTATATTTGAGCCACATCTCAAATTTAAGCCACGGCTCAAATTCTTTAATTTAGGCCTTGGCCATCAGAGAAGGTTTATTGCACGTTGTGATGTGTATTAAGTTGGTAGATTTTGGTTCCGGTTTTCCTTATATTTTCTTTCTGGGTCAAAATTTAGTGTACGAAGAGAAAATGTTTTCAAAATTGTTTAATAAAACATTTTATAACCCTGACAGAATATATATGCAAAAAACAAATCATTATATTTAAGGATTTTTGGAGCTTTCAGAGGAATACATAATAGTGAATTACATTTTACCGCCTTTGAGTTTTGACCAATATTACCGACCTAGGATTCGGCCCAACAGAGTTTATACTTTACGTCCCTTTGAACAATTAAGTACAATAACGTTATTTAGAACTCAAATTTCTTATTATATAATTTTCAGACAAATTCTAATTTTCTATTTTGTTAAGATTAATCTGGATGATATGGCAATAGAGCAGATTATAGCTTTAGTGGCAGAATCTAGCCAATCAGGTCATACATGTTTATTTACATTTTTTTCCAGTGAACCGGTTGAGCCAGGAGACCAGTATGTTAGAGGAGTTCTATAATAGGATGACCGGCGGGGAGGTTATAGCAACTGTATTTGAGAGAGCTGAGTCCCAGGTATTTAGTACAGTTCTAGTTTATATAACTTGGTTCTATTCGATTCAGCTAAAACTTGACCCTATTCCGACAGACATGGGGGGGGGGGGTCACGGAGATTTCCGTCCTCCCCTCTATTTCCTTCTTATGATAAATAACTATACATTTTACATTTGATACATTTTTGGAAAAAATTGCAAAATTACGAAACAACAAGTATGCAAAAAACTTAAATTGCGAGAAATATGACAAATTATACGTTTTTGAAATGCCCTTGATCCAGCAAATTCAAATGTGCAAAAATATTTGCAAAATTTGCAAAACTTAAATGTGCATTCAAGAAAAACTTAAATTGTGCAAATTCTATTTAAATGCGTCTGTGCAAAAATCTACGCAAAATTTCTTTACAGAAATGGTGCAATCTTCTTTCTTTTTTCATAGGCTGTCCAAAGATTAAAATCCAATGATTGGAAGTAGGGCATAAATTTAGATTTAGTGTGGTATAGGTAAAATAAGGTATTCAGGCAGTATGCTTGAGGACTCAGGCAGTAAGAATGTTAGCCCATCTTTTAGACTAAAATGTACGTGGGTCATTAGAAGTTAAAAATGTAAAAATTTGAACAGCCTCGACAGACCAATACTTTTTGAGTTATCGTAAAAAAAACAATAGGGGATGGGGGTCAATGTGATCCCCCTCAGTTGAAATAGGGTTAAACATATTTTGAAAAATATCTGTGCATATATGCATTCTATGCATTATAGTTTCAAATTTGAAAATAATGGAATTGAATGTGTCTTAAAAGTACTGTTATTCACTGCCTTTTTGATGTTGTTGCAAAGATCGGATTTTTAATCCCTTCCCATCATCCCTTTAATCCCTTTCATCATCCCATGCAACAATTCCATATTCAATATGAGACCTTACAAGAGATTTGTAAACAAGTAGATGAATGTTTAATGGTAAGAATAAGATATTTTTAATCTTAGCGCCAAGTTTTTACTCTAGGAAGGTGCTCCATGTTTTACCCTAGGTTATACAGCTTTAAGTTTTTACCTTAGGAAGGTATCTCCATGTTTTACCCTATAGGTTATACAGTTTCAAGTTTTTACCCTATAGGTTATACAGTTTCAAGTTTTTACCCTATAGGTTATACAGCTTCAAGTTTTTACCCTAGGAAGGTATCTCCATGTTTTACCCTATAGGTTATACAGTTTCAAGTTTTTACCCTATAGGTTATACAGTTTCAAGTTTTTACCCTATAGGTTATACAGCTTCAAGTTTTTACCCTAGGTTATACAGCTTCAAGTTTTTACCCTAGGAAGGCAGCTCCGCAGCATCTCCAGAGAGCAGCAAACCAGCTACAGCAAGTGGATCAGTCTTGGACACAGGTGTCAATGTGAATCCGTCAAGTAAGTAAAAAATTTAACTAAAGCTGTGATTATTTCTAAATTTCTAAGAATTTAGATAATTCCATCCCATAATATTTTATTTATTATATGACATGTTGCGAGATCATTAAATTTATTTTTTACAATTTATTATTTTTCGAATTCTAATTCTATAAATCTAGTAATGTTAATATAGAACTATAATTTTTCCATTTTCTTGTCATTATTTCTCTCCTTCTTCCTTTATTTCTTTTTCTTCCGCTTCCTGGTTCTGATAATTTTGAAAAAACAAATTTTGTCAAAACCAGTATTTTTTGGACACTCACTCTGCTCAATTGTATGTTTGATAATGTTTAAGTGACCCTCCATGCAAAGATGACAATACCTGATTCACAACGGTACCCATAAAAGCTTCGTCTGATCAAGTATGAACTAGATATCAATGTGTTAATTTAAAACATTTAGTTTCTCTACAAGAATCAGAACATAATACCTTTTAACCTAGAGAAACGAATATATCTTCCACATTGTTGATAAAGGTTTCAAAGGTAGAGTTGTAAAACGGGCATTGCCATTTTTAAGTGGAAATTACATTTCTAGTTCCTTTAATAATTACATTTCTAGTCCCTTTAATAATTACANTTCAAGCTATGACTTCTAGTCCCTATAATAATTACATTTCTAGTCCCTTTAATAATTACACTTCTAGTCCCTTTAATAATTACATTTCTAGTCCGACGAAGCGTAGCTGGGAGACGACATTCTTCAGGTTCAAGAATTGATCCAAGAGGAAGGTAAATTGTTACAAATATTTAATAAGATTGAACTTTTTTATTTGTTATTATCTCAAACTGAATTATCCGTCGGAATTCCGAAGATATGGGATTGTTATAAGAGATTACTTGGATCGTCTTTGATATCCCATAGTTGATAAATGGCAATGATTGTATCATGAATAAGCTTCACTGACTACTATTATTAATACTATACTTTACTATTTTCCTTTCATTTAGATAGTTCAAAGTATTCTAAGGCAGACAAACAGTTGAATTATGGCTTTAATTTTTTGTTAGAATGACCATGAAAAGGTTTGACCCTCCTCTATAAAGCGAACATTTCTGTACAAAAACTTGATAGCACTGCGACACACTTGTATGCTGATTCCATCACTGCCTGGTCTATTCAGGGTTCAGTCATGTGTTTGGTGTCTATTCTGAACCAATAGAAATAGTATTGCATGCAAAATTTATCTATCTATCTATCTCATTATCCAATTAGAGAAAAATCCTTCAGTCGGCGTTAAACAGTAAATGGAAATATTTACTTCTACTGAAAATACAGTGGCCCTATAGCCAGAATAATAGTGTTATAAATAATTAATGTTCCTTGTCACCTGTAAGAGCAATAAAAGAAAATTGTATTACAATAAATCCAAATAAATACAATTAAAAAATACACACAAGAAACACAGAATGAATTTTATTGGATTTCTTGGCTCCATTGAGTGTAACTTAGAGGGAATGCTGTTTTATTTATCAATCATTGAAGTGCCTGGCGTTGCCCGAGTTATTCCTAGTTACTCCCGCCGTTTACCCGCGCTGAGTCTTAAATTATGATTTTAGCTGATGAGCCAGGCGTTGCCCGTAGAATTAAACAAATTCAATTTCTGTAGTCTATGCCAAGGTACCCTAAAGTTTCCTAAAAAAATTATTAGCCAATTTGGTTCAGCCGTTTGGCCAGAAAGAGCGAGCATATAAATGTGTAAAAAGCTTTATTATTTAATTATTTTTTGTGTGATTTTATTTTAGGCAGATACGCTTGAGTATTATTCAAAAGTGCGGTATAGCAGGGAAAGAAGTCTCTTTAACCCAGCAGAATAAAGCTAAAGAAATCCTTAGTAGAAGAATTCAGTTAGAGCAGGTATGAATATTCTAATATTGATCGCGATCAACTCTTAAAATGTTTAGGCTTCAGCCTATACCTCCTTTCATTTTACCCAAACATTACCTTTAAAGGGACTGTTGGGGTTATTTTAAACCTTTGAGTGAGAAAGGAACAGTTCACTGCTGAATTCACAGATTTAAAGCAGTTTATCCCAGAACTTCGGAGGTTTAAAAGAATTTATTAAATGACGCCTTGGCAATTTTTCAATTTTTTCAATTTTTTTAGACCTAAATCTCAGTAATTGTACAAATAAATAAATAGCTATGAAATATTCGGGAACAGTTTTAAAGAGCTCCATATAGTTATTCAATTATAAAAACTAAACATCTGCAGCATTTCATTATCAGAGGATTTTCAAATAAAATTTTCTTTCTTTATAAATTATATTTTAGGGTCGAGCCAATCTTGAGGAGAGAACAATGCAATTAAAGGAAAGCTTTAAACTAACATTCATCTAAATGCAGATTAGGGATGGGATCGTTTTTACTTTTATGTAAAACAATCGTTTTGTTTAAAATCAACGATTAAACAAACGAAAACGAAACGGTATATTTTTAAAACGATCGTTTTTTAAAAAGTTCGTCGTTTCGTTGACGAAATTTTAACGATCATTAACAACTTATTAAAGACGAAATACATTTTTTGGTCGGAAAATCCTTAGATTTTAAATCCTTTGGGATAGAAAACATTCAGGTTATTTCTTTCGAAAAAGAAAAACCATTTAAGACAACATACATAAACTTATATTCCGGAGATCGTTTTTCGGTTTTTAAAGTTTTTAAGAACGATTAACAACCCTACACAGGGCGTCTCATTAAACATGACAATTGAGCGATGTGCTAAACTCGTCTTTGATACTTTTAATGACAAAGTTTGAATAAAAAAATCAAACAATTTAAAAGTTTTCTTTATGTGGTTTTCATAATGTTTTCTGGTTTTCAGTTTACTACTATGAATGTGATTAATAGGATCCTAACACGTCAAACTAAAGTAAATTATGAATATGATTAATAGGATCCTAACACGTCAAACTAAATTAAATTATGATTGTGATTAATATGATCCTCACACGTCAAACTAATGTAAATTATGATTGTGATTAATAGGATCCTCATACGTCAAACTAAAGTAAATTATGATTGTGATTAATATGATCCTAACACGTCAAACTAAAGTATATTATGATTGTGATTAATAGGATCCTCACACGTCAAACTAAAGTAAATTATGATTGTGATTAATAGGATCCTCACACGTCAAACTAAAGTAAATTATGATTGTAATTAAAAGGATCCTAAACCTAGAAGACCGACGAGGTCACAAAGTCTGACTTCTCCTTCTGTTTTCCGAGCGAGATACGGGGGGTGGCCATGAGCCACAACCGTTTTCTATTCAATGCCACATAGTAACTTTTTTGTCTTCCGGAAAACATGAGCCATAAAGGTTTGGTCTTTCGTGCCACAACACTTTAGCCTTTCGGAAATTGTTATGTTTTCAAATGTAAGAAATTGTAATTTTCAAAAATCCAAAAATATTTTGTTTAATCTTTTATAAAAACATCAGGATGCGGAGAACCAATTAACTAAATTTACGAGGTAAGTTTTTATTTATGTTACTTTTCTAAAGGGACTGTACGCGTAATTTCAATTGACCCTCCGGACGAGGAAGCCCTATTAACCAAGGTACCCTTATTGTCTGATCGAGTATGAATTAAATATTCATGATTATAATTTTTAAAAATTATAAATTTCAATTGTGGTTTATCTAAAAAAAGTGGCTCGCGTATTTCTGCTGCACGAAAACATTTAGATTTTGTTAGAATCAAATACGACAACATCAACATTATTGATCGGGTCAAGGTTTAGAGAGTACCGCTGTGAATCGGGCATTGTCATTTTTGCATGGAATAGTCACTTGAAATTACGCTTACCGTACCTTTAAGTTCCCAGAATGGAACATTAAACCTTTAAAGTAGATTAATCAAAAAATATTGTCAGCATCATCGTAAGTGCTCTAGTTGCAGATCAATTCACAACGCCAGTTCCCTCAAAAGCTTTGTCTGATTAAATATCAATGTTTTTGTTTTCTAATAGAGATTATTTTCATTTGTGGTTTCTCTACAAAAGTGGCATTGAGCATTTCTTTCCTCAGAAACAATGGAAAAAATAAAATTAAACACAATATAATTAGTTTGCATGACATGCATTTTATATCTATTGAACAATCCCCTAAAATATTTTAATGTTTAGTACAGTCGTTGAACAAGCAGTACATCCAATCACTGGTACTTACAAAGCAGAGTACATTTATAGATGGATGGTTAGTACATTTCATTACTGTATACGGTATAATAAGTTAATGGTAGATATGCCAACAGCCGGTAATGTTGGAAACTGCGTTAATTTACTAATGAATAAGTTTTTCCCTCAATTTTCAGAAAATATATAATTCGAAAACTTTATTTAACATATGATATGATGATGTCTTTTATGCAATTCAAACCTAGAAAAATTACGAACTTTGTTAAACATAATTAAGAAGCACGCATTATTATTTTTATTATTTGTTCATCTATTCATTTCAGTTTGTTCCTTAACGATTTTAGAATTAACCCGGTTGTTTCCGTTTGTTGACTGGATATTCCGTTTGTTTACTGAATATTTCATTTGTTTGCTGAATATTTAAATCGTTGACTGAATATTTCATTCTTTTACTGAATATTTCATTCTTATACTGAATATTTCGCCCGTTTACAGAATATTCCGTTCGTTTACTGAATATTTCGTTCGTTTACTGAATATTCCGTTCGTTTACTGATATTTCGTTCGTTGACTGAATATTCAATTTGTTGACTGAATGTTCCGTTCGTTGACTGAATATTCCATTCGTTGACTGAATATTCCATTCGTTTACTTAATATTTCGTTCGTTGACATGAATATTTCGTTCGTTTACTGAATATTCCGTTTGTTGACTGAATATTTCGTTTGTTGACTGAATATTTCGTTCGTTTACTGAATATTTCGTTCGTTTACTAAATATTTTGTTCATAGACTGAATATTTTGTTCGATGACTGAATATTTTGTTCGTTTACTGAATATTTCGTTCGTTGACTGAATATTCCGTTTGTTGACTGAATATTTCATTCGTTTACTGAATATTTCGTTCGTTTACTGAATATTTTGTTCGTTTACTAAATATTTTGTTCATTGACTGAATATTTTGTTCGTTTACTGAAAATTTTGTTCGTTTACTGAATATTCCGTCAATAAAAAAAAACTGCTTTTCATTAAGACAGAGTAATAGAGTGACTCGATCCTTTTATTGAATATGTTAATAATGATAAAAAAAAAGAAAAAAATGATAATAAGGATTATTTTTAAGGAAAATGAATTGAAGGCGAGAACAAATCAAGTTGAGGTTTTAAGAATAAAAAATACAACATTGAATCATGAAATGGGTAAAGTGTCCCTGAAGGCTCAGCAACAAGCAGAAACAGGTATATTGCCTAGAATTTAATAGAAACAGGTATATTGCCTAGAATTAAACAGAAACAGGTATATTGCCTAGAATTAAACAAGCAGAAACAGGTATATTGCCTAGAATTAAACAAGCAGAAACAGGTTTATTGCCTAGAATAAAACAAAAAGAAACAGGTATATTGCCTAGAATTAAACAAGCAGAAACAGGTTTATTGCCTAGAATTAAACAATCTATCTATCTATCTATCTATCTATCTATTGCCTAGAATTAAACAAGCAGAAACAGGTTTATTGCCTAGAATTAAACAATCTATCTATCTATCTATCTATCTATCTATCTATCTATCTATCTATCTATCTAGGGGAGGATGATGAGATAGAAGGAGGACATGAAGAACTACAACTTCAACAACAACATCTTATTCAAAAGTAAAAAAAAAATAAGAAACGGACTGTTACCGAAATTTTAGAAAATCTTTAACTAAAAAGGTTTTTTGTGCGATTCACATCGGCGTTATCAACTACATCAGCATCATCAGCATCACCAGAATCCGTGAAATTTTATAAACACTTGAAAGAAAATCGAAAGGAATTGAGTTTTTGCCACAAACTCAAATTTTCTAATCCATATATCTTTGCAACCACGTGGTGTAAACCTTTGATATCTTGAATTTAGATTAATTGATCTAACAGAATTCATAACTTGAAATATGTAATATCTACGAAATTGGGTAAAAAAATATAGGGATTAGAAAATCAGTGTTTGTGACAAAGACTAAGTTCTTTTTAAAAAAAAAGATATTCGAAAAAACATTCAATTTGTGAAAGTCCATGTTACCCCAAAGGTTCCCACGGGTTCCTTAAGAAAGTTCTTCTAATTTGGTCCAGCCGTCTGGACAGCTATAGCTAAGCTAGATATATAAATATTTATAAGAGCGAAGAGATATAAGATAAATTATGTTAATTTATTTCTTGCTTCTTATCCGCAAATCAAAACTAGTGAAAGCTCAAATAATCTTCCTCCATCTTTCAGTCACAAATTTCACTCGTAGAAGGACTGTGTTCAATTTTGACTATTCAAATAGGTTTTCCTGCAGTAGAATTGCGCAGGTCACTTTTGTAGAGAACTCACAATTGAAAATAACCCGTTCTAAAAATAACATTGAACATTAAAATCTAATTCATTCTTGATCAGACAAAGCTTTTAATGATACTGTTGTGAATCGGGTATTACCATTTTTACACGGAGGGTTACTTTAAAATACGCTTACAGTCCCTTTAAATGGAGAGTTATTATTACGCTTACAGTCACTTTAAGACAAATTTACTAAAGGAACAAACTATCGTAGATCAATTATCCATTAATAACATTCGTTATCAATTCAAATAATGTGATTTCTAAAAATTTTTCCTTATTTTCCATCTTTTTTAGATCATGAAAGCTTTTTCCTTCTAACAAGTCATCATTTCAGAAATAAAAGATAAAAATAAAAATAATTTTTAGGAGAAAACTTAAAGGAAATAAAAAAAAATAAATTGAGTCTTCGCCACAAACTCTGATTTTCTAATCCATCTAACCTAGGATTACCAGCGAACGAAAACTTTCGCGAATAAATGCTAAAATTTTCGTTCGTACTTCGCAAACTTGTTCGCGAAATTTCGCTAAAACATTAACTTGTAGCTGCAATTGTATAAAAAAGACTTGCGACATTCTGTGCTTTGGGAACTCAGCATTAGAAGTTTTATTATATCATTTTAATAATTTTTTTTCTCGCAAATTTATGCATTTTCCCCCCCGAGATTTTCGCATTTGCATTTTCGTGAAATTTTCGCATTTTACTGTCCTTCCCAACATTTTTGGCCTTTTTCATCAATTCTCGTCTAAATTGAGTTATCTATGTCAAGGTTTCAGGGACAGGAAATGTGATACGATTCTGGAAATCATTTTGATTGGTATTGATGGTGAAAAATCCGTCTTTTTTCATCTTTTTTCAGCTCCATCTGGGAGTGGTTAAGTAATTTTTTTTCTAACTCAATTATACTATTTTAAAATATTTTTAAGGCCGTTTCTAAATTGTCAAATTATTTTTAGATAGCAATGGTATTGACTATGAAAAAAAAAATTCTTTAGCTACTCCAGGATGGAGCTGAAAAAAGGTATTAAAAAGATGCGATTTTTCAATTTTTCTGAAAATTTAACAATCAAAACTAAAATTCTAAAAAATTCTGTCAAATTTGGTCAATACCAAGTTAAATGATTTTCAAAATGGTATCACATTTTAAAATTCCTAGATAACCGATAGATAGCCGAGAATGGTTGAAAAAGGCCAAAATGGAGGGAAAAACAGTAAAAATTATTTTTAAATGCTAAAATTTCGTATTTGAGCTAATTTTACCCCAATGCTTCCTAAAAAATGTTTTGCAAATATAGGATTTTTTTCAGGGGCACCCTAAGCTTAGGTACTTGTTTTTCATATTTT